GGGTCCCATAAGATTATAGTAATGTAATCATAAATTAAATCCCATATTATGATAGTTTAGCATTTTAGAACCTTTCCAATATAGTAACGATGAATGTGACCTAAACAATGAGACAAGCCGTTTAATCATTAATCCCGGAAGGGACACGTCGGTTGTCGCGATCATGAACCTGCAATGGTCTTATTGATGAGAGGACTAATATTTGTCGTCCTAAACTTGCTATTATGTTGATTAACAACGTTCACAAAATCAAAACTACCCGACCTTTGAAAAATGGGATTGTGATCGAAGACACTTCAATAACTAAATCATTATTGTTTAAGCCGAATTTAGATTTCACAAATCCTTGCCTTCCGACAATATGAGATCAAATAGTGGTGGTTGCTGAAATGTATCATGACTTTTGCAACAATACAAATGATATGGCTTCTTCATTAAGACTTATCTTGTTATTAGGTACACCATGATTGAGTAGTTGGACGAGAAATCACGTTCACGTAGGGTCTATTCCTAGGCTAAAAATAAAAAAAAAATTAAAGAAATATTTGATGTTTAGACCTATGAATTCACGAGTTGTCTCAATAATCAATGATTCAAAAATTCGGTTCAATTGTCGAGCTAGATTATGATGTAAAAAACGTAATATATTGCACTAAAATAAGGTTCTCGAATTCCATAATGCTTGAGCTCCTACAAAAAACATCTATTATTTTCCTTTTGAAAGTTTATGCCCGGCCAAAAGGCATACAGAAATGCCATTATTCATGCTCATCCTTTACGTTACAGCCGTGGTTGGTCCTTAATTTCATTTTTTATTATTACACTATTGCAAATGGATGTTTTCAACATTAAAACCCTACTACGTGGGTCGAGATTTAGCTTCTGTTTGGCATCTTTTTTAAACTTATTTTTAACTATTTTATAGAACTCATAACTTTTATCAACTTTTCAATCACATGTTTTATCGACTTTTATCAAAATTTATTTTAAAATATGATTTTTAGCTAAATTAAACGAGGCTTTATCATGTGCCGCGCCTGCATATATACAGTGTGAATTCACATTTTGTGTAATACAAAAGCAGAAAATCCAGATCACAATATTGACAAACAAAAAAGTGGATTATTTATGGTACAACGAATAGAGCCATGGACTTGATGTTTGATTGAATAAATTGAGGATGTTTTACCTTATTGGATAGAATATAAATTTGATTGGCTCATAGAAACTTATCATTCAAAAGTAGGACGAAAGCTACTTGTTACAACAGTACAAAGTCCACTTGCTCTGTCCTATAATTTTGACTGGTGGTTGCACTCGTGACAATTTGGATCCCAACTTCTGATTTTAATAAACTAAATTGAAATCAAATGTAAGGTCGTTGTTGTCGTCGTCGTCTTCTTCTTCTTTTTTTCTTCTATCTCGTAATAATTGTGCTAACATCGCTAGTAGAAAGCGTAACTAGTGGCGATGGTTGAGACATAAAATGCATGTTCATCCTGTTAATTATCGTCACTCAATTTTCATAATAATACAATCTTGACAATATGCATTCATGAAGCATAGTAGGAAACTTTGTTTTTTAATAATTTAGAAGGGATTGAGTATGTTGATTTCATGACGTTTATAGTGATAGTCGAGACGAATGTATGACCGTGAGAAGTAGATTTATCAATTTAGTTAACATAGGAGCTAGTATTTTGATATTTCTAAATTTAATTTACGACTACAGTGTAAATTTATTGGTGCATTTTGTGAATATCATAATATTACTATTTACTACCTAACTCTGTTGTCATTCACCATAATCCGCCATTTGAATTATATCATTACTATCTTTATTAGTGGCTAGTAAAATGGTTTGTTGCCTTCATCGCTACATACTGAATTGAGTTTTTCCATTGTTTTCAAGAAAATAAAAATATAAATCAATCTTGAGAAATTTTAATGACATGTAGAGATAATGATAAGAAATGTATGTAACTTTGATTGCAATTGATAGGTAGAAGGAAGATACGTTTCGATTCTTCCGTTTAACGCTAAAGGGTAGTGTGCCACCTCTAACAACTTGTGTTGATTTCGATTTTTGTATGTACTACGTCCAAACAAGCTAATTGCAATAAAACTTGGACGGATTTCTAGTCAATAAAATATTTTGGTTTGGACGGGATAGAAGCTTTATAACGCAAAATAAAAATGTTCGGCTATTGACAACACATATAAATAGGATTGTATAACGAAGAACAATCAAGAACACATAAATCCAAAGTAGATATCTCGCTCGAATAGCATAGAATGATAAAGTATAAAGAAATATGAAGTCTAGTTTCCAATGTGCTTCAAACGATACAAGGAGGGAGTATTTATAGTACTACATATGAAATAGTATCCATGGATGAGGAGGCACAAGATTTCATTTCCTTAACCGAAGCATCCTATCTTAGGCATCAATTTGTCCTCACTAGTCTGTGGCACATTTAATGCTTTTAAAAGGGTGAAGACACCCTACAACTTATGCTGACAAGATTTTGACATATTACTTAATACAGGGGTGACATCAATCATTTAAATAAGATTTTATTAATATAAGATCTTTGAAGGAGATGGGTCATGAACAAGACTCGGATTGAACCTTCGAACCACAACTGCTTCAGCGAGCTGACTTGGTTTTTGAGCTTTGCCACGAAAGAGGAGCTTTGTGTGGGATGTCACTCCGTGTGGGATGTCACATAGGCTTCATATGGAGTCTCAATGGCAAGACGTAACAACTTGGTTCCAATTTTTGCACATACTTGAACAAACTGGGTAGGAAAATAAATTTCAACCAATTAGTTTTATCAATTTTTAGGTTATCATTTACTGTATTCAAATTCTTCTGGTTATCTAGATGCATGTGTATCAATATATTTTTGGGGAGTGAAATTGGATGTCGCTAACTATAATGTAAGAAAAAATAAATTAAAATACTGTCATTACGATGCTACTTATTGCCAAATATATTGGAGAGGATTGTCATAATATTTAGAGAAAATTTAGATCCATTAACTATGTATGTACATGATCTATACATTTTTTATTTACTTTTCTCCTTGCCATGTTAGTTCGTCGGCTCATCAATTTTTACTAGGTTTAATTTTTATTGCTCGCGTTATGTTACGAGTAATAGATCTGCTTATATGAAATATGTCACACGTCCTTCGTCGATATAATTAAGTATTTATAAGAGTACAAAGGCGATATAGAACAATAAATTTGTCACTTTTACCTCACATTAATAGAAAATTATGCCCATTATTACAACCATTCTATAGTATACTGATAAAAATGTGGCTTAAATAATGTGATAACAATTTTTTACGTGCATCTCCATCATCTATTACATTATTAATTTTCAAAAATCAGTTGATATGTGATTGCGATCGATAAATTATGATTGTAGCCTAATTTATACGTGAATGTAAGTTACATTCATGTGACCACTCGATTTTTGGAAAAAAAAAAAAAGAAAAAGAAAGGTTAATGCCTAATTAATGAAATTAAAACTTAAATAACAAGGTTTTGGGTAATTTTTCTGTCGAAATCATCTTGGACTCCTAATTTGGGCTTCGGCTGATTCCTGAACTAATTTGGGCCCAACTATTAGTTGTAAGATCATAATCAATTAATTTCAACAGTAAATATTTTTAAGAAAAAAAGTTATTTTTTTCTGAATCAAAGTAATTATAGAAATTCTATATCTCCAAATCATGCTGCTGAATTTATTAGTAAATAATAATAATAATAATAATAATAATAATAATAATAATAATAATAATAATAATAATAATAAATCAGTGTTTTGATCATTAATTTTTTATTTACTTTTCTCCTTGACATGTTAGTTCGTCGGCTCATCAATTTTTACTAGGTTTAATTTTTATTGCTCGAGTTATGTTACGAGTAATAGATCTGCTTATATGAAATATGTCACACTTCCTTCGTCGATATAATTAAGTATTTATAAGAGTACAACGGCGATATAGAACAATAAATTTGTCACTTTTACCTCATGTTAATAGAAAATTATGCCCATTATTACAACCATTCTATAGTATACTGATAAAAATGTGGCTTAAATAATGTGATAACAATTTTCTGCGTGCATCTCCATCATCTATTACATTATTAATTTTCAAAAATCAGTTGATATGTGATTGCGATCGATAAATTATGATTGTAGCCTAATTTATACGTGAATGTAAGTTACATTCATGTGACCACTCGATTTTTGGAAAAAAAAAATTAAAAAGAAAGGATAATGCCTAATTAATGAAATTAAAACTTAAATAACAAGGTTTTGGGTAATTTTTCTGTCGAAATCATCTTGGGCTCCTAATTTGGGCTTCGGCTGATTCCTGAACTAATTTGGGCCCAACTATTAGTTGTAAGATCATAATCAATTAATTTCAACAGTAAATATTTTTAAGAAAAAAAGTTATTTTTTTCTGAATCAAAGTAATTATAGAAATTCTATATCTCCAAATCATGCTGCTGAATTTATTAGTAAATAATAATAATAATAATAATAATAATAATAATAA